CGCAATTCAAAAAGGATGTGGAGAAGCTTGAGAGGGTACAGAGGAGGGCCACGCACATGATCAGAGGTCAGGAAAACAGACCTTATGATGAGAGGCTGAGAGCCATGGGACTCTTCAGCCTGGAAAAGTGCAGGCTCAGGGGTGATCTGGTGGCCACCTATAAGTTTATCAGGGGTGCTCACCAGGATCCGGGGGAACATCTGTTCACCAAAGCGCCCCAAAGGATGATGAGATTGAATGGTCACAGACTCCGCTGCGATTCAGGTTGGACATAAGAAAGAACTTCTAAGCGCCCCAAAGGATGATGAGATTGAATGGTCACAGACTCCGCTGCGATTCAGGTTGGACATAAGAAAGAACTTCTTCACTGTCCAAGCCCCCAAGGTTTGGAATAGACTGCTGCCGGAGGCGGTTCAAGCACCCACTTTGAATGCCTTCAAGACACATTTGGATGCCTATCTTGCTGGGATCCTATGATCCCTGCTGACTTCCTGCCCCTGGGGCAGAGGGCTGGACTCGATGATCCTCCGGGGTCCCTTCCAGCCCAAATGTCTATGAAATGTATGGAAATCTATGAAAGAGCCGGGATGCTGGGGCCAGGCAAGGCAGCCATTGACAGGGCTGGGAAAGTACACAGAGGATGGGGCCTGTTTGATTCAGAGATTCAGCCAATTCAGTGGCAGCTGAATCGATTCGGGACCGTGAGTCAAATCACCAAATCGAATCACTGTTCCCTGAATCGACGGAATCCGAATCCCGAAGCGAACACTAGCTGCTTCGCACAGGCCTACTATACAATATTAGCCATACCAATGTAATCTTAGCTGCCTATGAAGTTACAGAGTAAAATAGTTATTATTTATGTTATAATTTAAAAATATCAGGGCAAATAATGCATTTCAGAAAGTGAATGTTAAATACACAACGTAATAGTGTACCTTGCCATTTGCTTGTAAGCCTCTTCTGCCACAGCAAATATATGTGGATCCATGTCCCCCATGTTTTGCCCACTATATGCATGGATAATAGCATCTCCATAAATTGGTAATTGTTTGTAGGGGTTCATTGCAACCAGAATGATTCCTATGGAAAAATACACAAGGTGGCAAAAATCTAAGTGACTTCAATGAGCTTAAATAAATATAAACAATGATTTAAAACGTTTTTCATAATTTATTTTAAACAGTGGTTTTGTCTTTGCTTACCACTGTACGTGTAGATAAGCTTAGACTCCACAAAACGAACTTTAAGGTTGTGTAAAACAGCAGGGTCATGGAGATAGCTAAGCGCAGTGAGGTCATTTTCACCAACAAGTATGTCAGGATTTCGCAGAGGCGGCAAGGCTGTCGGATCAACAGAGTAAGCCAATTCCTGTCACAAAAATTATGTGCAGTGTAAACATAAAAGCAAACAGAACTTTTTCACTCCCTTTACTGTTGCATGAATAACAGATCACCACTTGACTTTGTATTCCAAGACCACCAGTAACTTCAACTCAAGTGCATGGCATTTGTGTGCACAAAGAAGGTAAATGGGACCCCTCATTGTCTAATAAAAATAAAGCTGTGTGTTCTTGGCTTATACTGTGCAATGAGACACTGTGCAATTCATTCACATGAAAGAAAAAAAATAAAATGGCAGGTTAGAATGAACAGAGGAATGATGAAGTAATTCAAGTGTGGCTTACACAGCGTGGGCATAGTTGGAACATAGACGCTAGGGCTGTGCGAAACAGCACCATTTGGTTTTGACTTCTGTTTCGCCATTTTGAAGGGAAAGTGTTTCTCGTTGTGTTTCGAAACACTGTTCTGTTTCGTTTTGTCTAAACTGTTTCAATATTTGGACGTGTTTTGTTGTTTTGCCCATAGGCTATTATGGGGAATCATGAAAATGCCTAAACCAATGTAATTTCTTGCCTGATTTGGATGAAAATTGCAGGGATGGTAGCCCCTTCTGAGGGCATGAAGCCTGCCAGGTTTCAAGGAGATCAGTGCAGGGGTTTCTGGGAAAGTGCACCTCAAGGTGCTGACAAGGAAAAACTTGTCACTTGATGGCAGTGACAGCCTCTTGTCATCCTGTGCGCAGAGCTGGGGGCCCGCACCCCCAGGAGGGCTGTGGGGCTGTGTTGGACTCCTCCCAGGGGTGCGGGCTCCTGGATCTGTGCACAGGATGACAGGAGGCTGTTGTTCCCGTCGGGGACTGGCACTGGGTACAGCCCATGTGTCCAGCACCGGGAAGGACTGGTGCTGCTGCTGGCCCCAGTAAGCAGCAGCAGCCTCCTGTCATCCCGTGTGCAGATCTGGGGGCCTGCACAACTGGGAGGACTGTGCTAGACTCCTCCCAGGGATGCAGGCCCCTGGATCTGCGCTCGGGATGACAGGAGGCTACTGCTGCCTCCTGGGACTGGTGCTAGTCGCAGCCCATGCCCAGTGCCGGGAAGACAGGTGCTGCCGCTAGCCCCAGGCAGCTTGGAGCAGCTCCTCCACTGGCTCTCCACCGCTGGGCTGAGCTCCATGAGGCTGGTGGAGCCTCTTGTAGCAGAGCCCTGGCAAGCACAGGCTTCGCAGCCCCATGGAGCTGAGCCTGGAGGCGGGAGGTGGTGGAGACCCAGTGGTGGAGCCACTCTGAGCCCTGGCCAGTGGCTCTCCCCCACCTCCTGCGCCTGTGCTCAGGTCCGGGGTGCTACAAAGTCTCTAGCCACTGGGCTGTGCTCAGAGCCCCATGGAGTTCAGCCTGGTGGTAGGAGAGCCAGTGGTGGAGTCGCTTGGAGCGTAGCCCTGGCGAGCACAGCCTGGAGGCAGGAGGCTCCGCAGCCCCATGGTGCTGAGCCTGGTGGCGGGAGGTGGGGGAGAGCCACCAGCCAAGCTGTGCTTGGAGCCAAGGCTACACTCGGAGTGGCTCCGCCCCTGGCTCTCCCCCGCCTCCCACCATGGGACTGCTTCAAAACTCGAAACATTTCAAGTGCCCTCATTTTGTCTCATTTCGAAGCCTTTTGTTTCATGTCGATTTTGTGTTTTGAGCTTGAAATGCGTTGAAACAGCCTCAAAACAAAACACTTGTTGAAATTTCACACAGCTCTAATAGACTCTGACTGCTAGCATGGCTAATTGAGGCTCCAGGCAGCCTGTCATAATTTAACAGCTTAAGTCCACTCCTCAAGACTCCTGGAATTTATAGCAATCCCTCAGTTTAGAGGGGAACATCAAGGTGACAGATACTTTGCTGGGATAGTTTAGTCAAGGATGATCCTGCCTTGAGCAAGGACTAGATGATCTTGTGAAGTCCCTTCTAGCCCTAACTTCCTATGATAGAAGGTCACCTTTTCTTCCCCTACCTAGTCTCATACCGTGCAAATTTCACTGGAGCAGAAAATGTGGGCAATAAGTTTCTGTGGAGCTGACCCAAACTAGCCAAGGAAGCATCTTTGGAGGATGCATCCAAGGATGCATTCTGCTGGAACAATGGAACCGTCATCCTCCAAAGTGAGGTGTGCGTGCAAGAGATAGCTTAGTAACCCGCTCACAACTGAGCAACTAGCCCCCCAAAGAAACTAGAATGACCACAAACCTCACTGCTTTTAAAATAAACACAAACTCACTTCTCTTTCCTCAATAATGCCTCCCACATCACACTTTTAGAATATTTCCACAGAACAGGGAAAAGTCCAGACATCTTCCTATGTTCATGCTAACAAGTCTGCATAGTGAGTGCCTAGGAAGGTGAGGAATGCAGTATAACAATTCAGAAAAAGCCTCACTCCATTCTCTGTCCTTATGCTTCATATATTTCACTCATAAAAATCAAGAGAACATATAACAAACTGCAATCACACTAGGGAGGTGGCTCACAAACACATTTTGGATAAAGTAGTGTTATAAATTAGGAGTTCATACTAACATGGCTCTCCTGCTTATTTATTACAAATTGTAGACTAAAGCAATGGATTTAGTAAAAGGATAACACCAAGTCCTCAGCTGATCCTGTGACTGCCATAGCTCTGTTCAGTTCTATGAACTCATGCTAATTTACATCAGTCTAGGATGGGCTTCAGAGTTCCTATTTTCAGAAGTATGGCTCAGTGCACTGGGACATGAGTGAAGGGTAGAATAAAGCTCTTAACATTTTTAGGGGGTTGTTCTTTAGTGTACAAGTAAAATTCCTACAATTGCAAAAGAAGATCTGTGCTATTTTCTCCTGCCAAAGGCAGCCTGCCAGGCTACAGACAATAACTAAGGCTCTTTTCCTTACAGTTCCATCTTCTAATCGTAGGTGAAGCACACGCTCTCCGGTTCTGTAGTCCTTTGTGATTTCTGCCGACTGCCAAACTTCTTCACTATCAGGAATCCAAACCCTGTTGTACTACAACAGCAGAACAAAATAATGGTTAATTCCCATGCTATTAAAAGAAGTCACTGGCTTAACAATTCACTTTCTTAATGTAAGCTAACAGATAAAATAAAGGGCTGGGAGGCAGGACTGCACAGTCTTTTCTTTCAGGCTCCACTACTGACCTATTTTTACGCTTTAATTAATGCAACACACAGCTACCTTAACTATCGGAAGGACTTTGGGGTGGTTCCACACACTGTGGGGTAGGACTAGATGGGAAGCAGCACTAGGACCAGATTATAGTTTGCTCATTTAAGCGGTCTCAGTTACTGATGCTAAATATAGGGGATTTTCCTTATGGACCTAGCCAATTCCCCATCAGGAATGATGGGGGTGGGTGGGTGGGGATGGAGCCGGGGGGTGTTGCCCCGCCATCCCCTCTGTCCCCATTGGCTAGCACCCTGTAACACTGCTGCCTCCAGGAAGCAGGGCTGGGGCAGGGCAAAGCCAGCAGCTGACCTCACCCCCTGCTCTGTCCCTTCTGTCCCCACCATCATGGCAGCACTCCGCTGTGCTGCCACCTCCGGTCCAGAATGCTCTTGGAGCACTCTGGTTGTTTCACTCAGCACTGTGACTGGCTGCCGAGACAACCAATCAGAGTGTGAATAAAGTGTTACGGACAGGCAGATAGACTAAGGCTTTTATTATATTTGAATACTTATAGAAAAAACTCGGTCACCTAGGAGGAGAGAAGTCTCCTAAAATCTTAGTAGGAGTTAGACCTCCTTAAATTCATGCTTGTGAGACTTAATTTTGCTATAGGACCAGACGGGTACATGTGAAGATAATTATGTCATAACCTTTCTTACAGGACAAAAGAACATTCTTTAAAAATGTATTTTCTCCTGTACCCAAGGGCAAATTTCAGAACCTGCTGGTTGCCTTTCCATTTACAGCACAGGGGTTAGTTCAACACTAAGTCACTTGGGTTTAGCTCCACTCTACCCTAAAAACACCTTAGTTCTGATGAAGTGGCCACAAAATCCTCTGAAAAAACTTGAGAAATTTAAGTGTTTTGAGAGCTGCAGAAGTAATGACGCTCTTTAGGTACACATTACTGCCAACATACAGCAACTTGCGATAGTCATGAGACTCTGGACAAAGTAATGCAGGTGTTCCTGTTTGAACACTCACTTTGAACTACTAAACTTCTCCTCTTACAAAGAGCTGAAGGAGCAACGCTAGCTACCATCAGTGTAAACGATACATAACTTGTCTATCTCTAAAAACTAATGTATATCTCAAAAAAATGCAAGTAGACCCAGTGGAAGCCTATGCTTTGAACAACTGCCGCTACCACTTTAAATTATTATCTGTGTTGTTTAAACAGGAGTTTGCTCATACACAGACCATCTGGTCATGGTATATCAAAGTCATGGTGTTTTTATGACATCACAGTCCTCCTGCAACATCCAACTGAAGCAAAACAAAACAGCCTTATGATTTCAGAGAAGAAACAAGCAAAAGTGGCAAGCAGGCAACATTCAAAAAGCAAATATCTTTGAGAGCAGTAGAGTTTATGTAAGAAAAGAACCTGTTGTATACATAATCTCTCTTATGCAAATTTATTTCTGTATAAACCTTGCTTGTCATGGCAGTTTGAGGCTCTTCTACTGAATCATAGTAAATAACCGTATTGTTTTCTGATTGCTGTCAAGCTGGACATATGAAATCAGACAAGAGTTTCATTGACAAAGCAGTCATATACCTGCTCTTATTCTGCAAGTGACAGTTTTACCTCAAGTATTAAAAACAAAACACAAAACAGGACCCAATTCTGCAGTCTGTAGGTGGCCCTCTCTTTGAAGGCAAGACATACAGGACGATGATAATATTCTCCACTTCTATAATGTTCTCTCTATAATGAACTGAGAACTGTTTTATGGACAGAAAAGAACAGACCCTCAAGTTACACATGAATGTTCTTTGTACTTTAGTAGGATAATTTTTTCCTTGGCAGGAAAAACAGAATCACACCAAACTTTACTGTTCATTTCATCTATAAACCTCATCTACTCTAGTGCTTTCCCCAGCTCTTTTTCTGTGCCCTGTAGGTGCTTCTCTTCTGGGCATGCTAGCCAGCCACCTAGTTGCTCTTTTATTTTTCTACACAAGGAGAGATATAGAGATCCTGGCCCCACTAAAGCCAGCCACAGACCAATTTCATGCCTGGTGCTTTCTCCCTCTGCTGCTCTGCCCACTGTGCCCAGCTGCCTCATTTCTATCTGCCCTGGAAACCTTTCTCCCAGTGACTATGGAGTCCATTCCCAATGATGCCTCCTGTATCTGTTTTCTCTTCTCTTATTTGGCAAGGGTCTCTAGGAGAAGCAGATAGATCAGATCTTTCTTTCCAGCTGCTTTTACAAGCCTCTAGATTTCTGAAATACCCTCATTAAAGGATGACCAAGAAAGGATTTTATAACAGTGCTATATCGTATTTGCTTCTTTATGGTCATTAAAAATGTCTGAATCCAGTATTTGTTTAAGAAAAGCTCTGACAATATTGCAGAGTTAGAAATAGTTGATATCTGACACTATGCCGCACTGGCATTAATTTGAAAGGATTATCTTACTTTCCAGAATCACAATTTTCATTTTAATACATTCATATTTGTTGCTTAATGCTACACAACACGTCCAGTTCCTTCCACTACAGTCTGTTTGGTGATGCCCCCACAAAGGAACATTTCATATATTACTGAGCTGTGAAAGACCCAGAAGTCTTCCCAGAACAACCCCGGTGATGAAAACGTTTCTGTCTGTATAGCCCAACCCTACCCCTCAAGTATTACAGTCAATATAGTACCCACATAAAAAGACACCGTTAAATGAAATATGAAAAACAGAATTCAAGTAGTTTTCTCTCTCTCCAAATACTTTGATTTTCACTTGATGTTTGCTACAGATATGGGTGTTTAAGATACTTTTATACATATTTACATCTGTTATGAGAGAACATATTGATGAGAGAACATATTGATGAGTATTATTTTATCAGAAATCTTTGCTATTCTAATCATACAGCCTCACCTCAGTTTTAATGGTAATACATAAGAAACTGCATTGTCCTTGCTCATAGAAAGAGGGGAAGGGAAAAAAAGCATGTGATCAAAGTAACTATTCTGTAAAAGCCTCTGCAGCTGTAGGTGCCTCCATTGGTAAATGAAACTAGCCACTTTAAGATTGGTCTATTTGAACCCTGCCTACCAAGTAAACACAGGGAATTTACTCATTCTCATATCAAGTTACACCCAAACCTTCCTCTCACCTGCATGACGTTACTCCAGAAACAAGAAGAGAGCCTGTGATTTTAGCTACTCAAAAAGAATGATTAAATGTGGAAGCAATGAAAGGAATATAGTCAGCACAAAGGTCTAGCTTTAAACTTGTTGTATGTATGGTGGGATAGAGATATATGATTGTAAATTAATATATACACACACAGTGTGTTTATCTTAGCTATTTAAAGAAAAAAGTTGCCATGACATTAAAGTAACTGGAGAAAAACAGGAAGTAAATTTTATAAAAAACACTCAGGTCATATTTAAAAGAACACATTTCTGTGTGGCTTCAGAAATGAAAATGATAATCATGGAAACATATTAATATTGGACTGGAAGAGACTCCTGGGCCAAAGTCCAGTTCCTTTCTATCATAAGCCACCACAGCACACAATCCTTTTCATGGACCAAGAGCACCATACTGTTTTATCTACAAGATGGAGTTGGCATTCTGCAGTACAATATGTTCAAGGTGCTTGCTTAAATTTTAGAATTGCCTAAATTATCAACTATCTGGTTATCAATCTCTGTATAAATAATGCCCCATATCCCCAAATTCAACATTGCTACACAGCTTTCAAAATGTATTTTCCCACACTACCCTCTTAGGAATTGTAAAATCTACTTGGGTTACTTCAACTTACCTATCTGATAGGAAGTGCAAAACAGAGCTTTAAAAAAAAATTGTGAGGGTTACACATCTCTGGAACAAACTACGTGAACTTGAACAGACTTAAATGAAAACAGACACAACTCCAGAGTCTCTCTGGCCAATGCATATTCAATGTAAAGATGCTTTTTCCATAGTAAATAGTAAGACCTCTCTTCTATATTACAGGAAGAGATTATTGTAATTAATTATTTATTTTCCTTTTGTAAACTATTTTAAAATATTACCTTAATTAGTCTGATATTGCTATTTACTTTACTCCCTGCATGCTGACTGTATTTTGTCTGGTCAATCACACTGCTAAACTTCTCTGCATCATATTTAGCTGCAATACTTGAAGAACAAAACCCAGAAATACTTTCACAAGAGATCACTTTGCACAAACTGCACTTTGAGCTTATAAAACAAACTCTGCTAGTTTTCAGATGAGTTTTAGATAGAGGAATTTCTTCCATCAGGCACCAAAACGCTGAACTATATCCATGACAGAGGGGAGAAAATGACAAATGAACTTAACCTTCTAAGGCTATATCCTGCCCTGCTCTGCAGACATAGCTGAAGCTCATGTACACATACCTGACCAAGTTTTCAGTATGCTGCTTGCGGTAGCTGATGCAGCATGGGATTCAGGTTGGGCTACATAAATCTACTTGGGAACCCATGCAAACACTCAGAGGGGTCACCCGCATGGCGTTGATGCCATGGCTACTATAAGTACCTGTGCCAGGTACTTTAAAGCTAGATCAGGTACAGGTAGGTCTAGACTGTAATTCAAACACGTGAGTTAGATATACCCATGTGCAGTGTAGGGTATGTCCACACAAGCTGCAATTGTGCCTTTGGATTGCAGTGCAGATATACCCCAAATTAAGACCTCCATGGGATTCCTATTATATCGTGTCTTATCTAGGGTTCCTTTAACTTGGAAATACTTATGTACATGCTTTACCTAATGGACTACTCACATACCTAAAATTAAGCACATGCTTAAACATTTGTAGGTCCTTTGTGTATTTTTATTTAAAATTCTTGAAGTAAGAATGTCTCTCTGTCTTGTGCGGTACAGACTGCATCATATCGCCCAATATTTAAGTCTTATTTATTCCTTTTATTTTAATTTTAACAGTATAACGCTTAAGTAAAGATGTCCTCAACTCCTGATATAGCCATCTTAGACACTGACATACAGGAATCAGAGATTCAAAAATAATTTATGAGTAGTACTCCCTGTTGTTAAGTTTCTTCTACTAGCTCACTGAAAGTTATTGCATATTATTTGGCTATGGACTTCTTGCCTGGTATAATATAGTATGCACCCTTTGGAAGGAAACAGAAATCAATATTTAATGACCTAGTTTCAATCCTGTTTCGAGTTACGTTGTTAATCTAGAGTAATTCAGTTCATTAAGAGTTCTTAGGATTTACAGCAGCTTAAATTGAAGTTAAATGCAAATCCGTAGAAGGAACAGAAAATCAGTCCAGCAAATACAGCACGGTGGTGCACTTCTCTCCTAAATATACCACAGCCCTCACAACCCAGCTCTGCTGTGCCATTTTGTAGCCCACATACTGGCAGCTAGGAAGGCGCTGTGTGTGAAGCTTGCGCCTTCAGGGCAATGCAAGTTGCACTTGCGGGAAATGAGAAATGGCCATGCAGTTTACAGCTATTAAAACATACATAAACTTCTTCATGGAACATTTTTCAGACCCAAATCACATTATAAAGGTAGATAATTTCTACAGATTAGTGGCTATGGGACTTGCAAAGGACACTCCAGTATCAGCTGGGAGGAATCCAGGTCTCAGGACTCGCACGATCTATCATTTGTCTCAAAACAGTTTTCTCACTTCCCTAGCTGCGTTACCCGCTTAAACAGCATGGACTTGCGTAGACCTCTGTGTTTGCTTATTAAAGCAGCCCCAAGGGCCTTCACACCGATATGTCACCTGCTGCAGTCCTCCACTGCCATATAGGAGGTAAGCGTGTGATTCACTAACCTGGGTAAAACACACCGTTCCCAACGAGCTGCCTACTGCTTATATGGTAACAAACTCTGGCTGAATACGTATGGGTTATTGTGATTGTGATGTGATGTGCGTAAACCCCCAAGAGGTACAAACCCCACAGTCTCGCTTTGCTGCAGCCTCCCCACCCTGCGCTCTCGGGGTCCTGCCCACACCACCTAGAAGCCCCTCGCTTCAAGGCCTCTTAGGCAGCCGTCACCTGGGGAAGCGCAGCAGGAGCAGCAAGCAGTCGTGGTGCCAAACAGCGCAGGGGCACTGCTGGTGTCGAGACGAGCGCGTCCTCTGGCGCCGCCCGCGCCCGCCTGAGGGGGGTCGCGCAACACGTCCAGCGCCGCCCCGGGGGAAGCGCTTCTCGCGGGATACAAACGAATGGAAGAAAGCAGGCGGGGCCTGCGCCCAGCCCCGCTCCCGCCCGGCGGCCC